TTACAGCTACTGGGGAATTCTGAAGGGTCATCACACTGTGACTTCCTGCCATTGTCTACATTTTTTGTGTGAATATCCTTCTACTAGTCACAGACACGCCATTATCTAATACTTTGCATGGTGATTATACTTTTTGTCATTTTGTACAGATGAAGAAGGTTTTCCAGCTTTCTGGCTTCTTTTTGTCCTCTTACCAATAGTCCTATCAGTTGGCCGATCATCAACAAAATTTAATAGCTCATGCCATGGGAATTTTTCCACAGGTGACCTGCTTTTTTGTTTCCCGATAGCCTTTTTCTTTGCCTTGATTCTTTCTTCTAATATTTCACCAGGTGAAGACTTCATTTTGAAATGGTACAGTATCTACAAAATCAATTTTTCTGGATTATTTTTACCACAGCAGATACTTGGTGATATTCTCTCTGTAGGACTCTCTGAACTGGTTTCAGCACATTCGTTCACAGGGGTCATTTCTACTTCCTCTTCTTTTCCCTCTTATCTATTGCTTGAACTTTACTTTCAGAGTCATAAAGACACACGTGTGGAGCTCCCTGGGAGAAAACACTCTGAATGCTATGCCACTTATTTCTTCTTTTCTTTTGTTTGAATCTGCACGAGGGAGACATATAACATTTTCTGGTAACAAAAGGTCACTTCAAGACTCTCTTCAATTAACTCTAGGTGCTCCAAAGATGAGGATAAAACATTTTCTACTTTTTCAGAGGTCTTGTCTTCATTGGCTCTTGGGCTTGGGACTTCAGTCCTCACAAGACAAACACAACTCCATAGATTCAGTTTCCTCTGGCACTGAAGAACTCATGATTATTGACACTGAAATAAAACACCGTGTTCCAACACTTTTTTGTTTTGTTTTGTTTTTTTGAGACAGGGTCTCACTATGCAGTTGAGACTGACCTGGGACTCACTATGTCGCCCAGGCTGGTCTTGAACTCACAGCGATCCTCCTGCCTTGGCCTCTGGAGTGCTGGGATTACATGCTGTGCCACCATGCCTGGCTTTTACCAACACTCTTGTCATTTTTTCTTTGCTTTTCCCATGAATGTTACACCTTGCAAGTTCCTTTGGTTTGAACTTCTGCTGTGTGCCTGGTTCTCAAAAAGGACTTTGTATTTATCTTCACTTGATGAAGCAGCATAGGGTTCCATTTCTCATGCTTGTGGGTTTGTATTATCAACAAAGATTGGCGACATCTTCTTTTCAAATGCTTCTTTTATACAATTATGGTCCCATTTATGTGCTTCTCCTAAGTACTTTACATCAAACTGGTACTGCCCATTTATATGAAAATAATCATCAGTAAATAAAAGAATCAATGAATTGAAGACTTTGGTCTTTGGAAGGTTAAAAAATATTGACAAACTGTTAGCCAACCTCATTAAAAAAAAAAGAATGAAAAGGGCAAAATCACAACAGATCCTGCAGAAATTCAGATCATCAATATCTACTTTGAGAACCTGTATTTTAATAAGATGAAAACACAGACGAACTGGATAGATTCCTAGATATATATGAATTACCAAAGCTTAATCAAGAAGATATAAAAGGAGATAAAGCAATGTCAGCTAATGATATTGAAGATGTAATTAAAAGCCTACCAACAAAAGGGATAGGGAATTGGGAGGGGTAGGGGAAAGGAAAGAAGGGAAAGGAAAAAATGTGAGAAAAGGAAAAAATGGAAACAAAGTCTTTGGGAGGCAGGGAGGGGTTGAAGGGAGGGCAGGGGGTTGGGGAAAAATAAGAACCACAATACCTCATGTAAAGGTACAAGTACCTGATGATAAATGTGAATGTATTGTATACCTAAAATGTACCAACAAAAGAATTTAGGGAAAAAAATTAAAAACAAAGACAGAACAAAGCAAAACAAAAAATTCTACCAACAGAGAAAAGCCCAGGTCCCGAAGGATTCACTGCTGAATTCTGTAAGAAATTTAGAGATGACCTCTAATGCTACTACTTCTCAAAATATTCAATGAAATTGAAAGGGAATTTGTACTCCAAAATTAATTCCTGGACGCACGCATCACCCCAACACCAAAACCAGCGAAGGATCCAACCAAAAAAGAGAATCATAAATTTTCTTTATTTTTATTAGTACATATTTACAGCACATAATGTTGACATGCCTTGGGTAGAGCTGGTACCTGTAAGTAACACATCTTAATTCCTTTTCCCCTTTCTTTTCTCTCTCTGCTTTCTTTCTTCTCCCTCCCTCTTTTGATCCTTTTTCCCATTTGAGAAAATCTATCTCTGTACTTCTTTTCTATCTGTTATTTTGCTCCTTATTTGTTTTTTGGATTTCTCATATAAGAGAAACCAAGTGAAGTTTAAGCTTAGGTTTGTACTTTATTTGACTTTACAGTCTCAAGGTGCATCCATTTTCCTACAAATGTCTCAAAATTATCCTTCTTTTTGGATGAATAGTACTCCATTGTCTGTAAAGACCACACTTTCTTTATCAGTTCCTCTGCTCATGGACATACAGGCTGCTCCCAAGATCTAGCTATTATGAATTGTGCTGCTGTAAACACAGGAAGATAATGGTATTTCACCTCTGTGCCTTGCCTCTCCAACACCCATGAACCCAACCAATGACCAGAAACACACTTTCAAATTTAGCATAAGAAATGTTCTCAAAACAGCTGAGTCACACTCCTTGAAAATGTCAAGGTCATCAAAGAACAAAAAAAGTCCAAGTCACTGTCAAAGCCATGAGGAGCCTAAGATGTGGTGAATGGAGGCTTCGAGTGATGTGGTCTCCTGAGCGAAAAAGAGGGCATGAGGGGAAACTAAGGAATTCTGGGCAAAGAGTGGTGGATAGAAGCTCCCTGTACTCTTGGGAGTTCTCTGCACTCTATGTGCCTGATCATTAAAAAAGAGTATATTTAAAATTTTAAAGTATTCCCATATTTCTAGGACCTTGTACTTGTTATTACATACCTGCTTCCTACCCGTGAACACAAAATCTAATCATCTAAAATGTATTCGGAAGGACTTCACAATGGCTCCCTCACTGTCCCTCTCCTCCGCCCCCCTCCCTCTGTCTCTCCACAGGGGTTTGATGCTCCAGGCAGGTGGTGGCACCACTGAGCTAAATCCTGGACCCCAGGTCTGAAATTCTGAGAGAAGTGGGTAACAAGGCCACACAAGGTGTGCTGTGGGGTGTGTGGGACAGGGCCCCGTGCCATTTCCCTTGAGCAAAGAGGATTTAGCAACAGGTACTGTGAGAAAGGATTGCATTAACTGGAATCAGATGTAGCTCTAAGAAGACAGGAACGGCACATTCGATTATCGAATCCATGGCAGAGGGAATATTGATTGCCTAGGTCTGGGGTCACAGGCAGCACTGCACCTGGCTCTTCCAACTTTTTATGCATTTGAAAACGTTGTACACAATGAAGTTTACTTAAAATATGTAATAGGCAATGGAAATGTATTAAGAGAGTTTCTCATGAAATAAATCAAAAGTTGGAGGCTTTTACATTGCTGAATGAGTTTTATAGCAGCAGAAGAGAAATCAGTGCTTAACGGTAGCACTCTAAGGTGCAAGTCATTTAAATTCTACCTACAAGAGGAATTTTAATACAGCAGGTGCCTCTATAATCTCAGGGCTGTCAGCATTCTTTGTCAAAGTGCACCAGTATGAGGAAACAGTGAAGCAAGCCTGGGGAGATTAGTGTGCATGTTGGCATTCTCATTGTAGGTCTATTTTTATTGCTTAGTGGAGGATTATGTTGGCTTCTGTTGTAAAATTAATTTGTTTCTTACCAGCTACTCAGCTGTTTTCTAGATTAAAGAACTAAAAAAACAAAACAAAGCAAAAAACCCCAATCCAAAAATGGGCATCTGAACTGAAAAGACACTTCTCAGATGAAGGAGGAGAAATAGCACATAAATATATGGAAAAAATGTTCAACATCACTGGTCATTCACAAAATGCAAATTAAAACAACTCTGAGATTCCACCTCACTCCGGAAAGAATGGCTGCTCTCAAGAAATCAACCAATAACGAATGCTGGTGGGCCTGTGGGGAGAAAGGAGCCCTTCTCCACTGTTGGTGGGAGTGCAGACTGGTGCAACCACTGCGGGAATCAGTGTGGAGATTCCGCAAAATACTAACACTAGAGTTCCATTTGACCCAGCTATCCCTCTGCTGGGTATGCTCCCCCAAGAATTAAAAGCATCCTACTTTAGTGATATATGCGCACCCATGTTTATAGTGGCATAGTGTGTAACAGCTAAAACTTGGAAACAGCCAAATTGATCATCAACTGACCATGCATAAAGAAGATGTGTGTGTGTGTGTGTGTGTGTGTGTGTGTGATTTTAGTACAATGGAATACTACTCTTCCATTAAGCAGGATGAGCTTCAGACATTTGTAGCTAAATGGATGGACCCTGAGACCACATCCTAAGTGAAATAAATTAGACACACATGTTTAAATACCGCGTTGTTTCTCTAGCATGAGAAACTGAAGGTGGAAATAAGGACTAAAATGTATAATAGATAATAGTAAATGGGAAGAAAAAGTTCAAATAGGAAGGGGAACGAAGGAGGAGGGAGGGAGGAAGGAAGGGAGGGACAAGAAAAAGTGAAAATACAAGGAAAGAAATGAACAAAGCTTTTGTACATAGGGAGGGAAGGGACTTGAGGGGGATAAAATAAAATAAAATTCATTAAAATATTTAAAAATAGGGCTGGGGATTTAGCTCGGTGGTTCCACCGTCTGCTTCACAAGCACAAAGTCTTAAGTTCAATCCCCAGTACAACAGCAACAAACAAAATTAAAAATATGTCCACATTTCTATGTCCTTGAACTTGCTGTTGAAGGTCTGACTGATGAATGGAATTAGAACTCAGACAAATAGAAATTTATTTCAGGGCAAGTAAACAATTGCTCAATACAAAAAATTTTGTGATCAGGAATTTATTTTTGATAATTTTCCAGGAAATTCTCTATAAAATAAGAAGTGTCAGCTTTTCACTACAAACACTCGGCTCCTAGCCCCTGCCGTAGCTGGAACCCTACGCAAGGCACCAAGGAGCTCATCGTCATGATGGATGACTATGTGTGGTTTGAAGGGATAGCATTTCCTACAGTGGATACGAAGCCTGAAAACTTAAGAGAAATACAGGAAAATTTTGTGGTTAATGATGAAGATGTAATAAACTTGACTTATCCCAAATCAGGTAAGGAAAGGGGGTCATGCATGGCCCTCAACAGAGGCTATGACTGTGGGCTGTACTCATCCTGCAGATGCGTGGAAAGCTCTCACTGTGCCGGGACTCTTACACTGCTTTGAGAAGCAAGGAGCAGCACCTAATACCTTTTCCACTCAGAGAAAAGGATGCAGCCCGACAATTAAACAGGCAGATGAGTCCAGAGGGAACTTCTAAGATAGCACAGAAATGCAACGGGGGGATTGCAGTGGCAGAGTCTGACATGTGAATAACCACGGAGGTGGTACAGGATGGCATTGGAAGTCAAATGCCACTCAGAAGACAAGGGAAAATTAGTAAAAGGGCTTCAGCAAATACTGAAAGAAGCCACTTACGTATCTACTGCCAGAAAACTAAAAGACGTGGAAATACCCTTTGCCAGGTGCAAGCATAAGCAAATGTGAAATTCACAGGGGGATATCTTGTCATTAAAAAAGCAAAATTCTGACACATGCAACAACATGGATGAATCCTGAGGTCATTAAGCTAAATGAAACAAGCCCATGACAAAGGGAGAACTATTACATGATTCCCCTTATGTGAAATACTTGGACTACTCAAATTCATAGCAACAGGAGGTAAAGTGCCACTTTCCACAGGGTGTAAGGTGCAGTTGCTAGGGCCTCGTTTATTGTGTAGAAACCTTGCTTATTAGACAAAATTTTGGAACACTTAGCAACAGTGGGAGCCTGTTAAACGTCACTCGACAGCTGTGACATGTGCTTAAACATGGTGGCGACGTGCAAGTTTATATTGTGAAAACTCCAACAGTATTGTTTCTACAGCTCATGTTGGAACGGGTGACCGTCACTCTTTCTTCTTTGTTCAGGAACCAACTGGTTGAGTGAGATTATTTGCCTGATTCATTCGAAAGGGGATCCCAAGTGGGTCCAATCCGTGCCCAACTGGCAGCGTGCACCCTGGGTTGAGACTGGACGTGGATACAAAATGTTGCAGAACAGAGAGGGACCACGCATTTTCACATCTCACCTGCCCATTCAACTCTTCCCCAAGTCCTTTTTCCATTCCAAGGCCAAGGTCAGTACCTAATGGTTGAGAAGTGTTTCTTCAATACTTTTAAACTTGCATTTGCTTAAATTTCTCCTGGAGATTGAACTGAAAAAGGTCTTCATGAGGTAGATCTGGGTGGGATCTGAGACCCTCCTGGGTTAACTAATGCTCATGTACCCAACCCTCAGGCCGTACTTGAGTAAAAGTATGTGGAACACTCTACTTATTGTCTAGGCCTGTTTGAGGGTAAAGTGGAAGAAGAAATGCCATATCTTAGAAACCCCCATTTTGAGGCCAACCGGGATTTATGGCTGTATGGGACAGGAGATTTCCCACATTTTCTTGTTGCACTCCAAGGTGATTGGAGAATCCTAATCAATAAGATCCTTCGCCAATGCATGTGTCAACTTCCACGTCTGAGTTGTCCACACGGGAAGCAGCAGATTCAGAACTTGCCTAAGGCCCAGAGACTGCTCTGGGGTCGAGGCTGGCTGTTCTAACCACTATGTCCTGCTGCCTAGAGCTGTGTGCTGAGCTAAGCATCGGAACTCCCCGGGTGGCTGCTAGGTCACCCCCTTAGGGAGCAGGTAGATCCGGATTCTAGCACCCCATGCACCATTTTTACAAATATTCTCTCCTGCAGGGTTTATCGTGTGTTGCGAATATAAATAGTTTACTTAAACTATATTGAAAACCCTAGAAAATAATCCCCTCTTTAGTAAAAGCCACACTTGTACTGCACAGTGATGTGATCCAATGTACATATTGGCATTTTAGGGATTTGGTGAATCCCTGCCTGTCAAATTCAAGACTGATGCAGAGAGATGGGGCCAAAATAATGGAATAATGACCCAAAGGGACTTATTGTGAAATGAAGGTGTTTTCACTGCCAAGTGAACTTTGCGGGTGGGGATGTGAGAATAAACAGGAATGTCAAATTCTAGTTTCACAAATATTTACATAAGTACACAATTGGCAAACTGATCCACACAACACCGAGGACCTTTGTGGCCCTTGAAGGGTTCTGCCGTCAGTGAACAACCCCGGGGGCAATCCCTCTCCTGGATTAATACTATGGATTACAATAAGCTGATTGACATTTCAGGAGGAACACACAGCCATTCCTCCTTTTTATTATGTTTCCTTTACAATAGCTAGTGCACAAAATGTTAAAATGTATGTTTGATTAATGAGTGTTCTAAGTAATTCATTAATATAAGCCATGATATTTAAAAGGCACTTTGTACATATTGCCTGGGTGAGACCCAGATCAGGTAGAAAACGACTCTCCTGATTATCCACTTATTTTTCATTTAAGATGATTTATTGCATGAGGAATCCCAGAGATGTTCTTGTGTCTGGTTATTTTTTCTTCAGAAGAATGAGTATTGCCAAAAAGCCAGAGACACTGCAACAATATCTGGAGTGGTTCCTCCAAGGAAATGGTGAGAGCTGTGCAGAAACTCAGTCTTCCTCAGACCTGCTGGGCGGCCCTTGACTCTCCACGGCTCAGCAGCCCGAGGCTCCCCTCTCCCTGGAGCACAGATCTGCTAAGTGTCCCTGCTCTCCTGCTCAGCACAGGGCTCCAGACCAACCTCAGCTTGCTCTCTCCTAACCGTGCTACTTTCTGAGTCTCTGGTGTCTAGTACTGACACAAACGACTCTTGCTTCCCTGCCCTCCTCAGTTATGCCTTTCTGCAAGTCAAATTTTCACTCACTCACCAGAATGTAAAATCCTGCCCACCATTTCCCTAATAATGCTTCTTTCCAAACTCTAACATCTTCTCTACCTGTCTACAAAAGGTGTGACATGAGAAACTCTGTAAGTTTAATGAGTAGAATTTCTGGCCATTCTGGGCTAATTTTAATTTTGCAAGTTTTCTCAGAACGATATGAAGAGAGAGCCAGGTGTAGTGGAAAACACCTGTACTCCCAGCACTCAAGAGGCTGAGGCAGGAAGATCACACCAAGTTCCAGCCCAGCCTAGGCTACATAGTGAGTCCAAGACCAGCCTGTGTACAAATTGAAACCCAGTCTCAAAGACAAAACTGTTGTCTTCCACTTTTAATAAGTTTAGCCAGCAATTTATAAAGTTTTGAAAGAGGGAGTGGCAGAGGGGGAGTAATATATTTGGCTTAACAGGATTGGTTATTGGAGTGTCCTTGGACTGGCGATGGAGGCATCCAACCAGGGGGGACGGGTGAGGCCATAGCTGGACGTAGACAAGGGTCAACCCTCGAGCTAGGCCTCTACTCGTGTGCTAGGAGACACACGAGCAGTGCACTTGTCCCAGCCGGACTTGTACCTGGCCTACATCTCCTCCTCTGTTTTTTGCCTCCATTGCCTTGGCCAAGAGCACCACATTTTTATGACTTTGTTTATATCATTGGGCAAATCGCCTATTAAACTTAATGATCAGGAATAATACAAGAACACAAAATATCGTTAAAACATATGGGGATCCAAGAATGAACCCTTTTATACAAGAACTTAGACTTTTCCACCCAGTAAGGATACCGGTCCAGACCGTGTCCCAGACACTATCGAGAGTTACAACACCTAGAGCCTGAGTATCATTAAGCTGTACAATCGTTTGGGTTAAGGCTTGTAAATGGTGGAGAAATACGGGGTCCCAGGTTTTCCACAGATAACGTGGCAGATTTCTATATTGATCACAAATATGACAGAGGTAGGGTGTTACACAGATATGAGAAAAATTTAGCATGACAGCGGCTCACAATTTTTGTTTCAAGTCATTGTATCTCTTCCCACGTGAGGTCCATTTGAGACTGGAGATTTAATACAGTGGCTCGAACATCTTGAAACAGCAGGGCAGTTTCTCCGAGGGCTTGTGTGGTATTCTGAGGTAGTTGATTCACTGAGGCGGCTGTTGTCACCTGGTTATGTAGAGTGACGGAGGTAGTTGCTGAGGCAGAAACAGGTGCCACTATGGGGATGATGACGGCTACAGCGGCGGAGATTCCTAGATCACGTTTACTGCGGGGGTGAAGCATGAGGGTAAAAAGCAGATCTGAGTATTGTCAATCTTTGGTGACATTAACGGGAACCCAGATGGCCGGGGGTGTTCTAGCAACATATAAGGACCAGATGGAAGAATGATTAAATAGGGAGGGGTTTACACAGCGGGTAACCAGGGCCGAGGAATCAACCTGTGGGGAAGAATTATGGACAAACACAAATACAAAGGGAGGTGGTAGGCAAGCGCTGAAGGGTAAAACTGTGTAGTTAGATTTGTAAGAAACATACTAGGAATCACCACAGACCTGAGAGGGACTTCTGACCTGGGCATGGGAAACATTAGCACCGAGAGCGAGTAGCATAGGGGTAATACCAGTTGGCCTGAATCCGAGAAACCTGGAAGAGGCAGTGGCACCGTTAATACGGGACGGGCGAGATGTCTGAGGGGCTGATGAGGGGATGAGGCTCTTTGAAAGTTGGTAAGCAGCGTGGGTCTCATTATTACATTGCTAAACTCTTTCTGAAGTAAGGAAAGTAGGGAGGAGCATCCCCCAACCAACAACAGAGATGTTAGCAAGGGAGAGACGGAGGGCAATTGGGGAGTGGCACACATTGAAGGAGATGGCATCAGGGGGTGGCACGAAGCTTGGTCTGGAATACTTTCCGCAGAGGGGCACCTGAGGAGGAGAAACGGGGTTGGGGACAGGATCCATGAGCGAGAGAGCGTCAAACACGGCCAGAGCCAAATGGCCATTGGTCAAATCATTTTGTGGTAAATAGAGGCAGGAAGTAGAATAGGGGAATTGGTGAAACAAACAGAAGATGGGGAGACAGAAGTATTCCAAACAGTAAAACTATGAATGGTGTGCAGTTGGTCCCTCTGCGGCTGTTGGATATAAACGGAATCATTGCCCAAAGGCCTTGGCAAGGTAGAATTCCAATCTATGGTGACAAAAATGGGGGGATTAGGGATTAAGGCCCATACTTGCGTGACAGGCGAAGAGGTGGCTTGTTTAGAATTGGCTGTCAATGCCACACAAAGGAGTACAACCATCATCAGTCCTGAAATGGGTCATGGAGTGTCAGGATACTTAAAGCAATTTTGTGTGTGTGTGTCTGTGTATGGAAAATTGGTTTTAATTCTATAATATAAAAGATCCCTTTTAGAATTAGAATCAAAAGGAATGAAAGCTCTTTATGACTGAAAACGTAAACCTTTTATAACAAACTTGAAACCAACAAGCACACATACATAAATCATTTCCATACACCTTCTCTACATACTTAGGCCTTCTGGTCTTGTATATCTTTCTTTACCTCTTTCAACAAAACAAACACATAAAAACCTTTCATGCCAAAAGTATAACTCTTACTTATAACTTTCCTAATATTTTTCTCAGTCTCATTTACTATTAACCTTCTATAACAGCTGTTAACCTTCAGCTGTTAAAATCTTAAAGTATCCTTTTTTCTGTTCTCAGATTGTGCCATCTTAAAATTTGACTGGCTGCCAATAGAACAGTTTTAACCTTGAGTTTTTATCAACAAAGTACAGCAAAGAGGAAGTTAAGCCTATAATCACAATTTAAGAATTTGCAATGGGCAAGAAGTGTTTTAAGCACACCAATTAAACTTAACTCAAATTAAAACAGATACCTTTATCAAACAGTTAAAATTTCTAACTTGATTTTCCTTGTAAAATCTCTCGATGTTTAGCAGAGAGCAGTTTGCAGTTTTTCTGGCTTTGTTTTAGATTCCAGACCTTTGCAGGCAGCATCAGGCTGATAACACAGTGTTGCCCTTGGGGCTCTTGAGGCCTGCAGTGTTTTTTTTTCTATTTTGCCATATGTTTTTCAGAGCTTTTTTTTTTTTTAAACCTATTTTCAATCCATCAAAGACTTATTTTCTCATTTTAGTTCTTTCTAATCTGAGTGCAAGCCCTGTTTCATTTTCTCTGAGCCTGACCATGCTTTCCCATCTGCACCCTCTAGTGCAGTAAAGTGAAACAATTCTGTTTTTGCCCCCACCTCCTCCACGCCTTTGATCTTAGCAACTCAAGTGGAGGGGGAGGCAGTTTGACCTCCTCCAAAGGGGAGGATTTAAGGGTAGTCTCTCAAAAGGTAGTAAGACACTCAATGGAGACTTTCATCCCTCTGGTCTTTAATAGTGGTTGACCTGGGGAAGTTTGAAAGTATAGATTTTATAATGATGTTAAAGAAATAGGGACAAAAATTTCAAAGTAGAATACTACGAATAGTGCCCCTCCAAAATGGTAGAAGTGAGATAATATCAGGCAGTGTCGGTATAAACCTTTTACATGAAATATTAATCTTTAGTTATGCTCAAGTGTTTACTCAATGAGTATGTGTATTTTTAAGAGCATATAGAATTTCCCCCTCTTTTGTCAATAAAAACATCTAATATCTTGTCATTTTAATTGTAGTAGTTTCCAAGGCACGGAATAAGAAGAGCAATTCCCTGTTTTGGTATACATCAGGTCATTAAAACTGTCAGAAATTGGAATGTGACCTGTACTTTGTAGGCATGAACACCTTAGTAGTGACTGACTGGTGTTTTTGGTTTTTCTTTGGTATGGGTGATTGAACTCAGGACCTTGCATTTACCAGGCAGGTGGGGGAATCACTGAGCTCAATCCCTGGCCCACGATGTATTTTGACAACATAAATATATAGACCCAGAAGTAGAGAACACAAAGTTAGTTTATTTCCCTAACATAATAATGTTCAGTGGTTAGAAATTTATATTACAGATATATTTTCCTATGATGAATATTACACTTATGTATGTCTAAAATGTACCAATAAATGTTTTGCTTAAGAAAAACAACATTAATGCTGTCATTTTCAATTTAGAAGCAGCCTACAGAAGACAAAGTATCTTCATCAGAGGGATACTTGAGTGTATTTCAAAATATCCTAGCAGTAATACAGGAACATAGGCCGGAGGACACAGTTTTGGAAGAGTTAGTGGAACTGGGAAACTGGACCTTATATTGCTGTAGGTTAAGATGTTACAGGCGTGACTAGACACTGCCTGTAGTAGCTGGGGTCGTGTTTGGAGCCCCTTTTTAGATGCACCGTAGTTTTCACATTTTGTATTTCCAATAGATACTTTATATTGGGGTGTATATTTTGCTGTGTGTTTAAGACCAAGTCCAAAGAAGACCTGCGCTAATCAAAATTAATCTATGTTTTCGAGGTCAATCAAGAGTCCTAAGGGGGTTATTTCTGGGGCCTTGCGAGGAGCTCCTTGCCTCCTCTACTTTTCTTTCTTTGCTTTTTGTTTGGTCAGGAAGGATGGGGCAAGTTCTTGTTTCACCATTTGGCTTCCACTGAAAGCATGGGGGCATTCCCCACTGCAGTGACCCTCATTTTCCTGAATGTATATTTTCTGGCTCCTGTCTTCTAGAGTCTAACAGTTTTCCCCTTTGATAGATTACAGGGTC